ATTTGTGTCGATCTGTACAACTTTCCTCTATGATTAAAATAATTTAAATTCTTTTTCTTATTTATTATTTGAGAGTTAGCTCCACCGGTAGAGACGAAACTGAAAGAGAATACAAATATATCTCTCCTTCATTTGGAGTAACGGTTGTTTTGTTTTCAAAGCGCACTTTGTAGGTGGTTTGAAATTTCATCAAGAACTAAATCATATCTTATTACTTGGGATACGTAATTTTCGTATTTGGAAATAAACGCAAAGCTATGCGCTTCTTGTAAAATGAACAAGGCCTATCAACGCCGCGCCGCGCAGGAAAGATCTCTTAGTACTTAATTTTTCCAAAATACCGTTTCTTAAAAATATCTCCCAAGATGAGCTTATTCATGGATATAATCGCCTTCATCGACAACTCTTAGCTGCAGAAGATAAAACAGACACTCCCGATGTTCTTCAGGTTTTATGGGCAACTAAATACATCCATCTAAGTTTTGCAAAAACGGCAATACAAAGTTTATGGAGTCCTGTAAATACCTACAACATTGTCATCACGGACAGAAGGGTCAGGCTGTTAGAAGAAAATGTAGAAACGATAGCAATGTTGGCTTTCAACTAATAGTAAGACTATCTGATACATACAGGGTGATTCGTTAACAATGGGAAAATCGAAAGCTGAAGATATTACACGTGAAATGGTGACCATTGGCGCAAACATGCCTTATCCGATAGTTGATAGTTTCGGAAATAGGTTGAAAGTTGAAACTTTAAATCGTTTTTTTTTTGCGATTATCCTGAAAATATTTAGGTTAGGAACTTGAAAATTTGTGAAACTATATTTTTTTAAGCGACAAATAAAATGCGTGTTGCAATTTCAGCGTTGCTCTTAGAGGGCGCCACTTACAACAAATTTTACAGAAAATTTAGTTAATAACTTTTTACCCTGTATATCTAACATGAAACTTGATTCGAAATCTGAAAGAGCAATCATTTTTCGATTAATTATGTATTCTTGTTTCCTTTCGGTATCTCCATCCGTTTTCGAGAAAAATCGATTTAACGAACACTATGTTTTGATAATACGAGAAATTAAAAGCAAAACAAACTAATTGTTTCTTCATGTTATTATAACAATTAATAATAAAACAAATGAAATACGTAATAATGATTTAAGGTAACTGTTCGAAGAATCCACCGTTGACACTGATACACGTTACACAACGTATTCTGAGAGATCTTTAGGTTTGAAACAACATATTGGGTCTGACTTCGTTGGCAGGGATTTGTATTCTTTGCCACAACTCTTCATGCAAACGAATATATTCTTTGTAAACGATATCTTTCATTCGAGACCAAAAAGAAAAATCAAGAGGATTGAAGTCCGGACTTCTGGGTGGCCAAGTAAAAATGCTGACATAGCCAATCCAGCGATTTGGAAAAACTGCATCTAAATATGCACGCACTGGCCGAGAAAAATGTGGTGGAGCTCCGTCGTGCATAACCACATGTCTCTTCTTAAATAAAGTAGAACTTCTTCAAGCCGTGGAAGAATTTTTGCCTGGCCACCCAAAAGTCTGGACTTCAATCCTCTTGATTTTTCTTTTTGGTCTCGAATGAAAGATATGGTTTACAAAGAATATATTGGTTTGCATGAAGAGTTGTGGCAAAGAATACAAATCGCTGCCAACAAAGTCAGGCGCAATCCCAATATGTTGTTTCAAACTCGAAGATCTCTCAGAAAACGCTGTGTAAAGCTGTCACTGTCAACGGTGGATTCTTCAAACAATTACTTTAAATCATTATTACGCATTTCATTTGTTTTATTGTTATTTGTTGTAACAACATGAAGAAACAGTTTGTTTCGGTTTTAATTTCTCGTATTATCAAAACATAGTGTTCGTTAAATCGATTTTTCTCGAAACGGATCGAGATACCGACATGAAACAAGAGTACATAATTAATGGAAAAATGATTGCTCTTTCAGTTTTTTAATCAAGTTTCATGTTAAACATATAGGGTAAAAAGTTATTCACTAAATTTTTGGTAAAATTGGTAGTAAGTGGCGCCCTCTATGAGCAACACTGAAATTGCAACACGCATCTTATTTGTCGCTTAAAAAAATATAGTTTCACAAATTTTCAAGTTCCTAACCTACACATTTTCAGAATAATCGCAAAAAAAACGATTTAAAATTTTAACTTTCAACACCCTGTATTTCCAAAACTATTAACTTTCGGATAAGGCATGTTTGCGCCAATAGTCACCATTTTACGTGTAGTATCTTCAGCTTTTGATTTTCCCGTTGTTAATGAATCACCCTGTATTATATTCAAGTTAAATTTTAAAATGTTGCACCAATATTTTTTATGTAGTGAGAATTTCTTTTATTTTACAACTTCATTAATCTGTTGCTGACTGGAAGGTTTGTTTTTATCGAATAAAGCGAAATTTCGGATTTTCGATTTTTATTTTTGTGAAATTTGATTGTTTTTTTTGCGAAAAATACGTATCCCTACTTATGACATATCAGAAAAATGCACTAAATTAAAAAATGCGCGATCTCAGTATGGCGCCCATGTAAAAAAACTAAAATTGAATGCTATTTGTCTATCCTAATTATGCCCTAGTTTAAACTGCTGATTTTTTATTAAAAAAAACAAAAAACGAAAATCAAAACAATATTTAGGTCAAATCTTTCTTCGGCGCCTTATTTGTCAAAAAGACTGCAACTTTGACATAATATGATCAACCTCGTAACTTGTAAGATTACCGCGATCTGCTAGAAAAGAAAAACTGGCATCCGGTAGAGCTGAATTAACACTAACATTCGACCAATTTTTTTTTGTCATATCTACGTCACTGCGTCTTGGCAATACATCAAACACTTGACATAATTACTTAATTTATTTAGAGGTTTTCCGAATGTGGCATTCCTGTTTGTTATTTCGACGATTTAATGGAGAACAGTGAATTAAAAAAGAAAAAGCAGCTAATCCGATACCGAAATTAATTAACAACGATTAAAAGCCTGGCAGCAGGCCCGGATCCAGAGGGGGTGGCGATGTGGCGATCGCCACCCCCAAAGCACAACATTTTTTAAAGATCTTCAATTTCTCCAAACGACAACAGGCAGTTAGTCGATATTAATGCAAGTCCCCCTTCCTAACCTACACCTTACGTCATCAAAAAAATAACAACAACAATAATAATAATAATAATAATAATAATAATGATGATAATGATAAAGAAGTGCTTTGCGCCACCCCCAAAACCAGTCTCTGGATCCGGGCCTGCCTGGCAGTAAACAAAACACATGTTAAAGGTATCAATCATGGCCTGTTTAAATTCTAAAACCGTTGACGTTTTGTTTATTGTAACTTAACGCTTTGTGATAGAAAAATTGCGCGAAATGGGATCAGTAATATTCATTATACAGAGTGTTTTATGACAGATAAAATATAATTCTTGGTAATAAAAACAGAAATTCGCTTGATTTAAGGTATAAATTAAATTATATACCTACGTACCTAATATTGTGTTTTGCATGTGCACTATACAAGGTGTCCAGAAATAAATGCCAAAGTTTTAACTATGTATTCATCTTATACCTAGTTGATTTGCTTTGCAAATCAACTAGTTTTTAAATTAATACAACTTTTTGGTGACCGTAGATTATCTATACTTGTACGGAGGATTGGCGCCCTCTGTGCAGGTATGGTAGGGTGGAAGAATGTTGGCTTGGGTCAATGTGAGAGATTGACACCGGTTGGCATTTGACCACCCCCCTAATTAATGAGGTTTTCCAGGTTTCCCTCATTCCTGCACTGAATGGTAGTTAGGGCCTACCAACATAAGTCGTTCCTGGGCGCAAATGCGGCCTGCGTAATAATAATATGCCGCCTCCTCTCCCGCTCAAGTCTCCGACTTCTGGGCTAATTCTCGTAATTAGAATGAGGAGTAGAGATATTATTATTATTATTATTATTATTATTTTCAATTTTGTTACCCGCCACTGAAGCATAAGTCTAAACTCTTAGTCGAGATAAAAAAAATAAAAAAATACAAACAAAAAGAGATATTGGTGGTATTTAGTATTTAAGTTATCAAAAAAACTTACGATGGTAAATCGTTCCATAAATTTATTAGCATATTGTTATTGTTAATTAGGTACATTTTTGTTTAAGTTGTTGCTTTGAATAAGTTAAATACGTGGTAAAAATTTTGGCACTTATTTCTGGGACGCCTTATATAGAGGACGTCAAGAAATAATATATAACTTTAATCCCTCATATTCTAAAATGCTCTTATTTTCTTTACAGAATTGTATTTAAAATTAACTGATGTCGAAATAATATCGATAGACAGTTCGTACGGACTAGTTTTGACATATATGAGATGTGTATTTTATACTAGCTTTCTTGAAAAGTTTGATCAATTTTAAATATAAAATTGTCTCAAATCGGAAGATCCAATGACTTATTTTTTTCTTTTCTGGGACCCCCTGTATATATTTTATAACCGATATTATTAGCTTGATTAAATTTTTTGCACTAAGTTTTTGACATCCTTATCAAGCCGTTTACCAGTATGTTAATATTTTTTGGGTGAAAATAATACTTATTGACTTTCTTTTTGTCAATTTTTATTTAGGCACCTCTTTTTCAAGAAATAGATTGTCAAAATTGCAACAATTTTGAAAGAAAAATAATTACACGAAGGCAAGGGACCCATTAACCCATCTAACTTGAAAGTGGATCAATATCACATCGCGCTGTCGGCATAATTTAGAAAAATATGTGCAACATTTCAACTTCACATTTAAAAAATTTATATTTATTAATAAAAACACATTTTTATTGTAAATTTGAAAATCTATCGTGTTATAGAAACGCCTAAATAAAAAATAGCTTAAAGATTGCTTCCATTACTTTCGCCTAAGGAATATGTGGTTAACGGCTTGACTCACTTTATAGCAACACTCTGTATATTCATTTGAAATCATACTCATTTAGATTCTAGTTGGATTCTTACTGAGCTTCAATTACCTAGATGTTTATTCGAATGGAACCCAAACGAAATGCATCTATACAGGGTGCCCCAAAAGGAAGTGCACAAACGGGAACAATCTTCAGGTAAAAATAAACAAAAAATTTGTATAAACCTAGGCTAGAAAATGCACAAATTTCAAAACCATGCTAGTAACTCTGTATTCCAGTTACCAGTGCCGTACGTATGGGAGTTAACTGCATAATAATGAATCTACTTTTTTGTTTTACAATAGGAATCATAGTTTTTCAAACGCATTTTAATTATTAGCTAAAAACAAAGAAATAGCTAAAACTAAACGAGATTTATGTACAAAAATAATGACAAATAGTAATAATTTAAACATAAAAAAATATGTGAGCATAATTTAACATTATTATACTACAAATAAATAGACAAAATAGACTTCCACCCCTGCTCTATATTACATATAAGTAAAATATATCTGATTATAAGGTTAGGTTTAATGAAATTGAAAATAAAAGTGAAAATAATAATTTTCAAATAAAATAGTTTTATTTCCTTAAAAAAGACGACTAGGGCGAACAGTTTTAAATCAAAGGTTAACCTTAAAAGTTTTCTGTTACTTGTTTTTAATTTATTCGTGCTGTAATAATGTTAGATTATGTTTACATATTTTTTTCTGTTTAATTTATGTTTATTTATTATTACTATTTTGGTATATCAACCTACTAGAACTACTATTAATTAAAACTGCAGTTCTTATTGAAAAATAAAAATAGAGATTGATTTTGACGACATTTGTAATAGAAATGCAGAATTACTAGTATGCTTTGTAAGTACTAAATCGAAGAATTATTGTATACAATTTTATGGGGTTATTATAATGCTTTTGAAATATGTTTAAAAATATTAACTTATTAAGAACAAAAATTGGAGGCACGGACCTTCGAAATGTATTTGGATCTAGTGTATAGTGTATACATGTATACGTATATTTTAAGCAGCGGTAAAGTTAACTGTGTCATGTAATTAATAGTTATTTTGCAAAAAATACAAAATAACGAAGTCAAATTTGAGGCAGGCATACAAGATATTTGAATAGAAAACTAAATAAATTCTACTCTTGCCATTCCTATTTTCATCCATAAACTATCTCTAAGTATCTACATAAGTATTGAGCTTTCACAGAGACGTTTTACAAAATGTGCACACTAAAACGCAAACTAGTAGTACTACATACTTCTTTCACATTTGTTACGTTTACATGTGTACTTTTATCACAAAAAAATACAATTTTAGCATATGTATTATTTCACTATTCGCGAAAACCACCATATTTTTCTTAAATACACCATAGTTCACTAAATATATTAATTAAATACTTAGGCACTTAAAAGAAAAACACCGTACGTAAAAATAACAAATCGACGCAAACACGGCAACGTTGTGTTGTCCCTCTCGGCTCCTCCCCGATAAACAATGATAGATGATAGTAGAATTCGTCGGGTATAGGCGGCTCTTAACAGAACCGAATTCATTTTTTTTTACTAATATAAATAATACCGTTGTTAAATTAAAAATGAATGGATTTTGATAAAAATTACAGGGTAGCTATAGAGAGATGTTGGATTGTGTAGAATAACGTGGTATTATTAAATTTTAGATAAAAAACCACAAAAACTGTATTACCTTAAAAAGTTTGGCTCCGAAAACAAAATGGTAGCATAGTAGTGTTTGAGGAACCTAACTATGTAATAATTTGTAATTATATCCTTTTTATGGTTTATTAAAGATATATTTGACCTTCATTTGTTATGTTTTTTGCAGAGCCTTCATAAATGATTACAGGCCACGTGACCGTCGAGCTTAGGCAACCAACATTACACGATTATACTATTAACTAAAAATATCTTAAATATTCGTTTACAATGAACAATAACAAACCGTTCAGTCTACGCTCGAGATTGTGTGATCGCCGATTGAATAAAATCTCGTGAAAAGCACAACAGAATGTTGTGGTTTAATGTAACATTGATCTTATTGTTTTAATTTTACCGAAATTTAATTGCCAATGTGAAGGAAATAAAATTGCTGTTCCAAACAAAATTACTAGTCACGTGGCTTGTAATAATTTATAAAGGCTACGTTTATCTATAAATTGGAAATATCTTGAGTCGCGCCCTCCGTAGGTTTGTTCAGCAACCAACAGCGCGCTGAGTTTTGATTATCTTTTCAGTAATCAGAGGTTTTCAAAATCTGATAATATATCCGTAAATATTTTACTTTCACTTGATTCATTTAGATGGTGAATGTACCCAGAGTTAAAATCAGTGGCGGCTCGCTATGTGACGCAAGTGACGCACCGCTTCACCTGAGATTTCCGGTTGATTGTGCAATTTAAAATTATTTTTAATTTTATATAAACTTTATAATTTAACTAAAATTCTATATTGAAAATGTATTGTGTTTGTTTATTTTATACGCAAAAATAAGTAGAATAGTTGCGCGGTGACGCCTTCTAAAAAAACATTGCCTTCGTTGAGCGCAAACACCAACCTCGTCCTCGTATCATACAACGTATAGTACAAGCAAGTGGCGCGGATCGAAATCAGTTTGTATTCCGCTTCTCTTCGTAGCGTTGTTTACGGCGGTTGTCATGGCAACGAGGCGGCCAACACGGGAGTAATCTACGGCGCGGCGTGGGGCAACGAGTGACGCGGAAATTAAAGGAGCATTGTCATCGTCCATCGCGGCATCGCCTGCCTTTAAACAGTTTATACGACACGCGTCGCCCAGTGCACAATTATAACGGTTCTTTGTTAATATTTGTTTTGGACAATAATTGTAGAAATGTTTCCTATGTATGATCCAGTACGTATTTTATTGGAAATGTTATTTTCCAGATGGAAAATTGAGGTTAAAAAGGATTTTTTAAGTCGCCTGTGCCTTATTGTCTCGATATGGAAAAAAAGGGAAGTCAAAAGACAGTGTGCGTTCGGAAGTTTCGGAATGAATGGTATTCGGAGTATAAGTGGTTATGTGGAAGTGTTTATTTAAAAAAAAAAACTGTTCTGCTGTTTTCACATCGGTTTTCTATATGCCGTGTTTAATTGTGGGTGTAAAAGTCGGGCGTGTGGAATAAGGAGGGATTTAACAATTTTGGGAAAGTCACGCGAGGCTGTCGTAACCACGAAGCTTCTTTGGTACATACATATACGGTGTACGTTAATGTTCGCAGAAGTCCACAAGCCGAACTAATGTTTCTATTTTTTATTAAATCTAAATGATAATCCTTCTCGCGAACGTAATGTTGCAACTAAAAATTTCCAGATTCATATAAATTCGTCTTTTTAGTCAATCAATGAATAAGCTTCACCTAATCTCAATGTCACGAGCCGCCACTGGTTAAAATTCTTGTACTCAATTCAACGTGCATAAACTTGTTTACAAATTCGAATACAGTCGAAATTATATTTAATTGTCCTTAATTTTTTCTTTACTTTTCTACCTGCTACAATAATTTATTTTTCCTTTTATTTGTAAGTTGTTTTTTGTCTTCGTTGGTTTATTTCTTCTTAACGATCTCGTACCTTCACATAACCAAAGAACCTTAGTTGAGATGCCCCTTCCTTCTACGTTTTCTCTGGATCAGAATTATAATTTTTGTTTCTGTCTTTTTCATTGCTTCATTTATTTATTTTTCTCTAATTGCATCTTTCTTCTCATTTTTCTGTGACCTAAATCCTTTCTCTCTAACTGACCCAATCCCGTCCCTATGACGAAACTCCAAACAGTGATTCATAAAAGAAGAGATAAGCCTAAACGGCATCCATTTACGCAAAACAAAACATCTGGCAAGTCTCATTTACAACCTTGACGATCACTCACGTACCCGAGCCACCAAAGTTGTTAATTGTAATTTCTGTCCAACCATAAAATCGAAATATTCTACATAAAAGCTTTTTCCATAAGTTTGCCTTTGAAATCAGTATTAGTAAACTATTAGTGAAATGTATTTCAGTCATTGTCACTTGTGGGAAAACAAACTTTAAATTTTAGGTTTCAGATTCATTCTTAATATTTCTTGGAAACCACATTGCTTTTTTATTACACAACACTAACAATTTAAGCTTCCCACTAATCTTAAATTTACAAGCTGATTTAAAATAGCGAAATAATACGAAAACTGACTGGACTACACCACTGATAGTGACGTCACTAAACGATGACGCTTTTATTATAGGTGATAATTGCAGAGTTCTGTAAGTTCGTCTATCTCCAAAAATGTTTCTAAATCGATCAAATGTGAAATAAATGACGGCCACTGACTGTTTCACGAATAAAATTATCAACAGCGAAGCACCGTTCCATTTTCCCTTGATAAACACACATGCCTAATACATTAATCAATAAAATATACAAAGGTTACATCAGGCAACATTCCTGGCGAAATTTACATAAGGCTTAGGCAGCATCTTGCGCTCTTCATTGTTTGATGTCAGTTAAGCTGCTAGGTGTGGCGTATCTACTGTGTTTCTGTGCACCAGAAGGCAGAAACTCGCATTTTGCTGGTAACAATATTTACAGTAATCGTGTAAGAGACATTATTTTCTTTCGGTTTTTACATGCAAGGACGTTGCGGAAAATTTTCAGGGTTGATTCCTGACATCAAAACAAATAGAAAAAAAGAGTAAAACTTAACCCTCGACTTAACCAATGACGTCCGAAGGGTCTGACATATATCAATTACCGAAATTATGCGATAAGAGAACTGCATTGTACCAAAGTTGAGGTCTCTTCTTTAATTGTTCTCGACCACTTCATCAAAAACTGTGTTGAACTTGACAACAACCGTTGAAGGATCAGCCTTTAAGAATCATTTTAGGAATAAATGTTACCTTTGTTTTTCTTTTACTCGTCCGCTCTGAGAGTTTGTCTCAACATTACCGGTACACTCTGTATATTCAGACATAAAAATGAATTTGGATGACATACAACAGATTCAAAGTTGAATAATAGTGTCATAAAACAAATAACGGCATAAATTTTTTCGATCATAAAACCAGCATCAATGCATTTATCACCATTGTATTAATATCTATTTTATATACAGAGCGAAATT